TTATTAAAATCTAACTTATAGTTGAGTTCTTAATGACTACTTTAGCTTATGTCTTGAGATCTGGAAATTCTATTTTTAATTTAAAGGTCTTTAATCACATCCTCATCAGCTAACTAGAATTACTTTTCTTACTAAATTACTCTATCACACCTAATTACTGTTTTACTCTGTTGTATACGGCAATTGCTACCAATTTTCCCCCACCCCCTGCTTAGTCCCAGTTGGCCCTCTTATTTTCAAGCCCTGTTCTTTTAGCACCCACCCTGTGAACCTGAAGCAGGTGACTCAGTCACGTTGCCTTTCCATCTGGCTCATGTTTGCCCAGCTCTGATCAAGCATTCTGTTTGCTCTGATAAAAATCTGGGCTGCTGTTTTCCCAGCCATGATTTTCCGATGAACGGGCAACTCATATTCCGTCCACCTCCCTCCACCCTGAGCTAGTGCTAGAGGCTGACACAATGCCTGCTGGATGCTTTTTGTTTTGTTGTGTTTTCCTCTTTGTTTCTAACAGAATGGCTGCGCACTCTGCCTTTTCTGTATCGTTTGTTAGAGTGAGACTTGTGTAATCCGACTAGGGAGAGAATACGGATGACTTTCACCCAGGTGAGAAAGTTCCGTCCTATCCCTGTGAGCACTCCAAAGCAAAGAGCCCTAACCCTGGCTTACAGCCAAGACAGACACCTGCTCTGGCCTCTCCGAAAACGGACAACTAAAACAGCTTTCTCATCACCTTTCCATTGATTACTTAGGTAAGCTCTCCTCTTCCCCGTGGCCTCCCAACATCTAAGAGTGAATTATTTGTGAATGGGTCAGAGATTCCTTGCTGTTCCCATCTGCAGGTAGGGTTAACCTCTTCCTTCCAGCATGGCTGCACATTAATCTCTGTTCCTGTGTTGCCTCTGTGACCACAAAGGACCATGATACGACTGTTTTGCATCCTTTGCTAAAATCAGCTATGTCTTCTAACAAAGTATATTAGAGCTCTAACTAGATAAAAGCTGACATATGTTTCATTTTGCTTTTTTTGTTTTGTTCGTTTGCTTTCTGGTACTAAGGATTTCACCCAGCTCATATCGCCAGATCTTTTTATTCTTTACTTTGAGGCAAGGGAGTCACTAAGTCACTAAATTGTCCAGGGTCTGCTTGAACTCATCATCACTTTCTGCTGCTTTTTAATAACTACATGGTATTTCTTTGTCTGGCTACACCATAATTTGTTACATCAGTCTCTACTCTAATGATTTGCTATTGCACACAATCCTTAAATGAATATTCGTGAATAAGCACCATTTCACATATCTAGGAGTGTATTTACAGGAAAAATATCTTTCATAGAATTTCTAGGAAAAGTCATACGCTTTTTTAATTTAGAAAGACGCTATCAGATATCTCCTGCAGCCTCCAATTTATAATGCCTGTCTGTTTCTTCCCTACGAATGTTAGTCTTTCTATTATTTTTAAAAGCTATCGTTTTTTGAGATTAGCAATTTATTGATCTTATGAGTTACATACAACTATTTCTTTCCATGTGTTTTTTTTCCCAACATTTTGGTCATTTTCAGCTATGTGGAATTTTGTATGTATGAGAATGAATTTATCAACATTTTTGTTATGGAGTACTTATTTTTGATTGTCATACTATAAAAGATCTTCCTTTCTTTAAGATCATTTTTAATTTTAATTTTTCTGTAGTTTCTTTTTAATGCCTTTATAATTTTACTTTTTAGCACTTAAAATGTATTATTCTTTGAATCCATTGCAATGTGAAGCACAAAGCATGAATCCAACATTTTTCTACCCTAATTACCCCAAGATTTTGTACATTTATAAGCCACTCTACCAGCCCCTCCACATCCTGGAGCTCTCCAATGGGACATTCTTAGTCTACCCATCACTCATCCTGAGTCTATGCAGGACCCACATGGGTGCCCAGCATGGTCTGCAGTATCTCATTGCATGTCCTTCTCTGCAGAAGAGATCCATCAGCAGACAACACAGAGAATACCACCCATTAAAATGGGCAGATCTAAAATAACCAGGTACTTCTCTATCTCCTCACATTTATAATGAGATTCCTTATAAGAACCACCCACACTTTCAGTCTTCAGTTTCTCTCCTCCAATTCGGTCTCCTCACTACTCCAAACCTGTGCTTGTCCAAGTCATCAGTGACCTTCACATTGACCTTTATCCATCAACCTCACTTGGCCCATTGATTAGCAGCATCTTCGCCTCTAGCGGGACTGCTTCTTTGCTTGACTCTGGGGCTGAGTCCTTCTTGCTCTCTTCTTCTCGCCTAGGAGCCTGCCTCGCTCTCTTTTCTCAGAGTCTCCTTGTCACCCATGGTCATCACAGCTTAGCTGTACACAGGGCACAGTCCTCAGGCCTCGTCCCTCTATCTGTGCTCTCTCCCACACCCAGCCTCCTGAGATAAGTGGCGATAACCCTTAGGGTTCTCTCTCCATCCTAGACCTCAACACACAACACCACATTTACATTGCTCAGCAGCTCCACTTGGCTATTTAGCTGGACATTGGAAACTAACAAATCCAGAAATAAATATTCCCTCTAGCTGCCAGGTCTGCACTTTCATCCTTTCCTCACGCCAATAAATGCCAAATTCATTCTCACAGTTGTTTAGCAAAAAATATCAATGCGTCTTGATTTTTGTCTTTGTCTTGCATCATGCACTCAGTCAGCAAGCCTGCCATGTCTTCTGAACCTGATTCCTTCTTACCATGCTGGTTGTCGAGTCCTCCTGCAGCCTCCAACCTAGTCTCTAAACCCTGCTCTTCCCCCACAGCCAGGATGGGATCCTGTAAAAGCCAGGTCATGCACCTACTTAGTCTGCAAAGAGCTCCCTCCAGCGGCCCCTTTGAACTTGCGGGAAAGCCTCTGCAGGACCTGCTGGCCCATTTCTCTGCTCTCACATCTCCCGTTCTCTCTTTGCTTCCCATGCTTACACAATGCTGGCCTCTGCAGACCCTTGTAGAAGGAAAGGACCCTTCCTAGAGCAGTGCGTTTCCACTCGCAGTTCCCTTCACCTGGCATCCTGTGCTCAGGTACCCACATGGCTGGCTCCTCTGTGTCCTTCATGTGAACATCCTGATTCTCTATCCAACATCCTATCCAAGTGGCCCTCCTTCACGGCTGTCATACACCCAACATTGTCACCCTCGCTGCTTCACCTCCCTCCGCAGCACCTGGCTGCATCTTTCTGATTCTTAGGTCATGGTTGTCACAGACCACGCTCCAAAGCCAAGCCTCATGACATCAGGGCTTCCACCGCCAAATTCCCAGTGCCTAAGGGACAGCTGATCCAGGGTAGGCTCCAGAAATATGAGATGAGGAAGTGAAGAAATTTACCCTGAAGTGTATTTGGTACTGAAGCTGCTTTCTGTAGCATAAGTAGATGTAGAATCAAGGGGTCATGACTGACAGCTCAGTTCAAGGAACAGATAAGACTTGGTCCTTCTCTCAATCAGGCATTAACCAGGGATAAAACGTGGAGAAGTCCATTCAATGTGAGTGTCTAGGATCTTCGCCAGAAGATAAATTTGTCTGTATTACTATGTCTGCTTCACTGCAATTTGGTTAGAAAGTATGAAAGACTTTATATTTTACAGATCAGTACTATCAATCCTCCATGACCCTTATCATCCTCCAGGTTTTCTCTGCCTGGTAGATAGCAATTCTGCCTACGCAGGCATCAAAACCAGCACTCAGGACACCTTCTGCACCTCTCCAGTACCCAGCAAGTCACAGTACAGCACACTTCCTTAACTTTTATCAGTGTCACTCACCTCTCTCTCCTCATAGAATCTGTATTTTAGAGTAAGTTTCCTTCCTTATATTACTGAGAATTACTGGCTTCTCGAATGTCACATCCTCAAACTAATTCTTCACTCTGCAATGCAGATATGTTGAAGTTTTCCCTTTGCCTCGAATTTATCAAATATTCTTCCTGACTTCGAGTTAGGGTCAGGCCCCAAGGTCAAGCACAAGAGATGTTCCATGTGGATGTACTTCACTATACCCACATACTGCCCTTCATTACTAATGTTCCTCAGAAATATGCAGGTACTTATGTCTGGGCCCTTGCATATGCCATTCACTCTTCCCAAAGCACCCAGCTGTCCCTTGTCGCTCCTAACTCCTGACTTGTGTCCTTCCCCAGTCCTCCGTGGCACTTGCCAGGGTGTATTGTTGGTTTAAGTGTCTGCATCTCCAAATTAGACTCTAACAGGAAATGGTTCTTGCTAATCCCAGCCTTGGGACTAGTAATTGTGGATGCTCAATGGGTGTAAATATGTTTCTAAATGGACAGAGAAGCACTTTGAATGTTTACCAAGCACTAAACAAGTGCTATTAAGCCAGTGTCACTGCAGGGTGGGAAACCGCTCAGAGGAGAGGTGTCTGGGGAAGGTCGGGGCTCTTGCTTTTCCTGCTGTGTCCTGTTTTGTGCTTTTCCAGTCAGAGTCACATTGCACATTTAGCATTAATCACCTGTTCACTGCATATCTGCCCCTCTGCCAACGCAGCCCCAGATTGCTGTGTACAAATGAGAAGGCTGATTATTCAGCTTATTTTGGGATGCCAAACAGAGGCCCACTTTGACTCACCATTCAAATAAACATCCTACCTACAGGACTTTGATTCCAGCTGGAAATGAACCAGGCAGCTATGCATTCTCTCATATTTACAGGAGAGGAACTCTTGGCCTTGAAATTCATCCCTTTAGGTTGGCCCAGGGCCAGCAAGTGAAAGCAGCAGGGCAAATGTCCGCTGCACATTGAGTGCATATCTAGAAAAAACAAATATCAAGGGGCACACGCTGTGAGCCCAAGAGCCATCAAAAGCACAGAGCCCTGAACAGCGCCTCACAATTTGGTTTTCTTCCAACACATTAAATTGGGCCATTAACGTAAATGAAAGGTTTCAGATTTATTTCATTGACAGATGGAAATTAATTCACAGGAACCCAACCAGCACAGGCTAGAGGATATTTAATTTCATTTATTTTTAATTACACAAGTAGCACATGAATCTATTGTGATGATAAAAAATTCAAACAATACAGATAAGTTTACAATCCCTCTTGACCACTCACCATTCGTGATTTCCTCTCCTTAGGAGACAGGGCTGAGGTCAGCTGGAAGTGTCACAGGGCATGCACACGAGTACACGTGCACACACGCTAACATATCAGAATGAAATAAGATTACAGACCCTGCATTCCACAGTGAGACCAAAGACCCTCACCAAGGAGACATCACGGAAAGCGACTGAAGAATTCATGACTCTTTTCTGATTTCCAAATGGAATGAAATACATTCCATTTTTCTTTTAATACTTTTAGGAAGTTTTAATTGTGTAGGCATTTAGTTTGTCTAGAATTTTGCTTTCACAGTATGAGGGACTAAATTCGATTTACTTTTTCTCCAATAGATAATAGGTTATTTTAACACCCTTCACTGAGTAGTTACCAAACTCTGGTGTGAAAGGTCGCTTTATACTAACACTCTAAATAACCCCTGGTCACTTGCTGAGTTGTTTTCTGAATCGTCAGTCTATTTGTAGATTTATCTATGGACGTATTTATTAGAATTTAATTGTACCTTCTTTTCTAGAAGTTGAGGACATTACATGAGGAATATGCTTCCTAGGATTGTAGATTTTCCAGGATCACAATGATGGTATTAGCAGCACCAGGTGCCTAACTCAAGCCCCACTTGCTAAGGCAGGCTCTAGTCTTACCCTCACTCCAGGTCCTTCTGCTCAGAGCTCCAGCATCTCTGGAATGCTCTTGCCTTCTGCCTCTGAGCATCTTCTAGGCTAAGAAAGACCCCTTCTGCTTTCCACTCCCCCATTACCACCCCTAGAGGAGGCCTTGTGAAGGGCCCCAACTCCTGCACCACTGCCCGACCCTCCATGGTACACGGCTGCTTATCCCGAGGGCTCCTCCTCACTGTCTTCTGCAAGGCACAGGGACCTTGCCTTTTCCACTGATTCCCACTTCTTTCTGTAGCACTGTCCTTGGAATCCGGCCTAAGGTAGCGGGATGCCATTATCCTCTTAGAGGGAGGATTAGGAACAATGTGATGGTCCTGTAACACTGGCCCACCGTCCAGAAGACAGGTGCTCCAGGGCCTGTGCACCCCACTGTCCAGAAGGACCGGGGATCTGAGTCAGCTTCTCCTTAGTTCTCCCAGCAGAGGCCTCTGCTCTGGTCCACAACCTTAGGTGGATGTCAGCATCCTTCGACTCATCTCTGCAACAGGGAGAATGGGGATTTTATGAGGCTTTTGTGAGAATTTATGAGATTATATTTGTTTAGTTCATTGCAAGTGAGCCACTTACCTGCCACTTACCTTTCCACCTTCCTTAAATTAAGGAATCAGAGGAAGCATCACACCCCTCTAAAGCTCCACAACTGCAGTTACTTTTGTGCTCAAAAAGTGCTCCATATTTCTGGGCATGTAGCTCAGTGGTTTAGCATTTGCCTAGCAAGCAGGAGGCCCTGGATTCAATCCCCAGCACCGTGAAGAAAAAAAAAACATAGCAAAGGATGTCTCCATATTGACTTACTGGTGTCAAGCTTTTTATTTTTCCTTTAGGAAAACATTTGTATTTTCAGAAGATAGATATTTAAATGCTTGTATCCGGATTCTGGCTTAGCTAGCTCCATCATCTTTTGATTGGTTTGTTGAAACAAATCAGGAGTGCCCAGGGGACTGGCCCAGAGTATAAGGCACAGCTTCATTTAATTATAATCATCAAAGTTAATGAGGGCCATAAACTGTCTCATAACATACCGACAGGCAGAATGAGCGGAGGTCAACCTAGATACAGTGCTATCAAAGCTGGCCCATCAGAAACGGCCCATCTGAACAACATCCTCTTCATACATCGGAAAAGATAATGGGAACTTAGGCTGTTTATTCGTGATCATTCTGTTTTCCTGATATGCGAATTCACTCCTATATATTTCCCACTTAGGACCACTTTCATTGTGTCCCACAGGTTCAGGTATGTTGTATCTGTATTTTCATTTAATTATAAATATTGTTTCACTTCTTCTGTAATTTCATCTCTTACCCATGGGTTGTTCAGGAGAGTTTTGTTTAATTTCCAGTGTTTATGTATTTTTTGCAGTTTCTTTTGCATTAATGTCCAATGTCAGTGCACTATAGTCAGATAATATGCATGGGATAATTTGAATTACTTTGCATTTAGTTAAGCATGCTCTATGGGCTAATATATAGTCTATTTTAGAGAACATTCTACATGCAGTTGAAAAGAATGTATACTCAGATGTTGGGTGGAATACTCTGTGTCTTAAGTCCATTTGTTCATAGGTTTGCTTCAGTTCTGGGTTTTTTTGCTGACTTTTTTCTAATTAGTTTATCTCTTTTTGACAGGTATTTCCCAGAAGATCTGAAAGCATCATGAGACAGTGATACATGTGCACCCATGTTTAGAACACCACAATTTTTAATAACTAAACCTTGGAACCAACTCAAATGCCCATCAACCATGAAACAGATTTTTAAAAATGTGGTATGTTATATAATGAAGTATTACTCAACTATAAAGAATAAACATGAGGGAGGCTTCTATATGTAAATGGTTGCAACTTGAGACCACTCTCATACACGAAATAAATCAGGTTCACATATGTAAATATTGTATTCTCTCCCTAGTGTAAAAAACTGAAAGAGTAGATAAGAGCCAAACTGTACAATAAATATTGTGAAAATGAAAGGGAAAGAAAGTGCTCAAAAGGAAAGAACAACTGGGACAGAGGAAAGGAGAAAAGAAAGAAGGGAAAATATAGATAGATAAATATAGTACTAATTTCTGTTAGTTTATCAAAAAGAATAGTTTTCCCTTTTATTGTTTGATTGATCATTATTATGCCTAAATCTTGTAATCTGAACAACTACTTTGAAGATAACAATATATAACATATTAATTAGTGTTAATTTCCTATTATTTTGTTTTGAACCTCTGTATCATCAATTTTATTTTTTTTAATTTGTTATTTTGTTTTTAAAATAAAAAAGGTAATGAAACCATGGGTAATTTTGTGAAATTTGGAGAAAGTCAATTGTAGGTTAAAACAACAACAGAGTTTCAGTTTTATATTCTGGTAAATTTTTGATCCCATATCAGGCAAGTGATTTTGTCTGTCAGTGAGTTTAAAGAGAAATTGTAGTATTTTTAGTCAAAACTTTATCTCACTAACTTCAAAATAACATGGAAACTTTTGGGAACAGAGCCATATATGAAAAGGTAAAAAAAAAAAAAAAGTAAGATTTTCCTGTATCTATCTGAATGGGCCTATTTGTGTGTGTGTGTGTGTGTGTGTGTGTGTGTGTGCGCGTGTGTGAGTGTGTACAGTACTCAATAAATGTATTTATTTTACCTGCTTCTAAAGTTTTACACTTGAGTTCTTGTAATACTATCACAGATTTTTTAAATGAGGTCATATTCCTATAATAAAAAATTAACAATTGTAAACTATGCAATTTAGTGGCATTTAGTACATTCACAATGCTGTGTGGCAATCACATCTTCCTAACTCCAGAACATCATCATCACCCCGAGAGTAAACCTCGTATCCATGAGGTCAGCCCCCACGCCCACCCTGCCTAGCCCCTGCCAATCACTACACTTTCTTCCTCTATGGAGATGCCTGCTCTATACGCTTCCTATAAAAGACACCACAACTCTGTGACCTTTGCATCTAGCTTCTAGCTTCTTCCATTTAGCATGTTTTCCAAGTTCATTCATTTCTCAGGGTTGGTATCAGGACTTCATTCCACTTTAACAATGCATAATATTCTACTGTATTTATATATCACATTGTTATGCACATACCCATGAAGCCTTTGGTTTGTTTCCGCCCTCGTCTATTGTTAATAATCCTGCTATGATCATGAGTCTACAAGTACCTGTTTGAGATTTTGTTTTCAATTTCCAGGGGTGTATATCGAGGAGTGGAATTCCTAGATGAAATGATAATTCTATGTGTGACTTTTTAAGAAAATAGTGAGGCAAGCATTCATGAAGCAAATGCACAGAAAAAGGGGAAGACATAAGTCAGCTTACACACACACAGACCCACACAGAGGCACACAGTGTGTCACCCTCCATTCTGATCGCCTATTGTGATGATGAGGGCACCTGGTGAAAGAAAAGTTCTACAGCGATTCTGTTGATCCCTTTCTCCTCTCCCAAGCACATGATGTCTAATTTGAGATTCTCCTGACAGAGGTCTAGTGCAGCACCGACTTGCCCTGCTCCCTGAGGTTCTGCCAAGAGCAGATGACAACACCTTTCCTTGCTTTTTATGGGGTACAACTGTGTAACATGCCAGTATGAGACAGATAGGGTTTTCTGGCACCATTCTGAACAGCAGCCTTCGACCTCTGCAGAAACAGGATGGCAGAGGTCAGAGGCTGTAGACTATCAGCACAAAGCTAAGTTTCCTGTTCCGGCTGCGCTCCAGGAGTCAGACAGAGTTCACAATGAAACAAGAAGAGGAGCATGTTGGGGAGTCCCAGAAAGTCTGCAGCAGCCCAGACAATCAGGACTCTGACTTTGCTGAGTCAAGGAGAATCTCACTCTCAATAAGCATGCTTTCAGTTAATACATTTCAGGCAGCTTCTTTCAGCAAACCTGTTAGAGACAAAATGGAAATCACACCGAGAATAGTACTGGTTGTACACAAAATGTTACTCCTCATTCTTAAGTTGCCAGAACAGAGTTGGAGAAAGTTTCATAGGCTGCATGGGCCATGATACAGCTACTGAGTGTCAGAAACCACTAGCACATCCCTACCCGTAGCTCCCCTCTCTATTTCTTATACAACATCTTAAAATCCCTGCCCTACAGGCATCGTAGAAAACACTTTAAAAGATTAGTCATCCTTCACTGAGAAAGGCCAAGGGAAGTTGAGTCATCTTAGATCTCATTAGAATAGGCAATGTTGTAAAAAAAAAAAAGTGAAAAACATTAACCTTAGTTCCACAAATATTTTTAGAAGGTAAATTTACCCTGCTGTTTTTAAAAAATAAGTGCATGGATGCATGCATGTTCTCAAAAAATCCAGAACAATATATCTGACCTTAGCATATAACACCCTAGAGAAACAGTAAGAATTAGAACTCATGAATAAAGAGCTATCTGAATATCAGGTACTAAGTACAGTGAAGAAGCTGGTTTTATAGCAGTTACAACATCAACCAGCTCCCTTCACAAGAAGTGGCCTAGTATTTAAAAAGAGCAATGCAGATAAATGATACTGCCCAGCAGGCAAAGCCCCACTGCTCTCTCTGCTGTTGGGCAAATCCCTGCAGCGCAGTTTAACAGTGTGCAAAGTGAAATTTGTGAGTCATTGCTTCATTAAATCCAGGAAATAAAGATGCCGTCATTCTTTGTTGTAAACATGTACTAGCGCGCCACATATCAGGAAGCTGGGACTTTGCTGATAAATGTAACTGATATCTAAACCCCATGATAAGGACGCACAATGCAGAAGGAGAAGCTATTCAGTAAATGCAGGGTAGCAGACATGCGCTAGTATTGGTCCCTCGTGACCTCAGAGATACCCCTCAGGGAACAGAGGATGGAGAATCTAACCAGGGTGCCCGAGTTATCACACAGAGAGGTAACTTCATCTCGGGTCTCTAGTCACGCAACCCAGACTTCCTGCTTCGCCACATTTACCTCTGCATGCGGTGCTGATGCTGGGGTGAGTGGGTAAAGGGCCTTGTGCATTGCTGTCTGCATTCTTTCCCTCTTCCCACAGCCCAGTGAAACCTCGCAGTGAAAGCCTCCAATGCAGAGCGCTAGCATTTCAATGTGGAGGTCTACCCCAAAAGCATATTAGAGAAGAGAACACTAATAACAACAACCCGATCTATTGGGAACTTACTATGTGCCAATCTAAATGTTAACGATGCATTCTATACCAGACAAACACAAAGTCAGGTAAGAACCAAATAATTAAATTAATTTAATTAATCGTACAAAACTATACCACTGAAAATCTCTTCATGAACCACGGGCTCACTGCACATTGGAATATTTGAATGCAGTTGAGGCCTCCCATTCATGGGTTACCGTGTTTTCCAGGAATGTTGTGTTGAATCTAGCAATGTGGGGAATGCTTTAAGGATTGAATGTTAAAAAATAAAATCATTTTTGCAATTCTCAAAGGAGATTCGGAAACTTATTTCAGTGAGTCTGACAGCATCTTCATCT